TTTCAGAAAGTGTTTGCCACTATGACAACTACGACTTTTAAACTTCAGTGAGAGGGCTTGACGTAGGGCGCACTTCCGAATCCAAGGAATTGACCGCCCCTCATGGCTGCCTTCTGTTTTGAAACACTAGTGTTCGATAGAGAACTAAGGTGGTGTAGGGTTTAAGGCTTGGGGACTATAGGATAATGTCTGTTTTAAGTTGAGTTCTGTTTTGAAACACTATTTGAAGCGTCAGGGGGACTTAGCAAGTAGGCTAATAGCCCCTAGAAACCATATCGTAGCGTCATTTACCTACTTACTAAGTCCCCCTGACCCTCCAAGTAGTGTTCTTTAGACAACTAGTTCTAAGAGACTACAGGACACCATCTATTTACAAGCAAAGCTCTTCTCTACCTAGTATACATCCGGCTGGAATCCCATCCTCTAATATTGGACACCGCCCTCCAACACTGAAGTCCCGCGAAAAGAAAACTGCACTTTTCGAACACGCTTAATATTAGGGAGTGAGGGTTTCGAATATTCATCTCAGGGAAAGTGATTACTAAGAACAGCCCTGGAGTTCTCAAGGATTCGGATATGCGTCACAGTACAGTCCATGCCCTTCGCAAGGTCCCAGGGGTATGCTTGAGCGGTCTTCATGAGATGTTTGTTTGGAGGTACTGGGCCTCGCTTCCTGCTGGCTCTCATCTTCAAGTTTGCATTTTTGGATTCAAGTTGAGTCTGTGGCCTTATCTGAGGGACTGGCAAGGCTGGGACCCCTGATTTCTGGAAACTCCCAAAGTGAAGGTGGTCTGCTTGGGCATGGCTTGATGTGACTTCAGATGTCTGCATTTGAACATTAGGCCCGGGCAGAGGAAGTCCTGTGTGATCTGGTTCTGCTGTTCTTGCATGAGGTCAAGAAGCGGTCTGAATTCCCAGAGTTCTCGTCAGCAGACATGTTGACTGGAGGGCACGCAGGTACTGTTCTGAAAGCACAGCCCCGCTGACCAGGAGCCCTGTTCTTGGAAAAAGCCGAAGAAAATGACCCAAACAGTGTACCTCAGTTCACGCCCAACGACATCTTCGAGGATCTTCGCCAGGTGAGCATAGACGTGCGAAGCTTCCATTACCTGCGGAGGCAGATACCTTACCCATGCTTTGCGATTGCCCCTCAATTGGACACCCAACATATCAACTCACCACTTCTCAGGAGGTCTAGACAAACTCACCTAAAATTATACTACAACCCTACCTTGTATGGCTTGCGGGGGTTAAAATCTCTTTCAGAATTTGGGGTTCAGGGTCTGAAGGTATAGATGCAAGGCCTGCCAGAAGAAGGTGCTGCGTGAGGATGTGTAAGACTGTAAGAGGCTAGAATCTCCCAAAGGCAGGCACAGAGATTAGGCATACCCTTGCCTAGGTCCGAAATGCAACTTAATGTGGTCTTCACAAGAGGGGTTCGGGGTTCCCCCTCTTTAATCTTCCATATGAGCTAGGGTCTAAACTCCTAGTATCCCCCTTGATAAACCCTATAATACTCTCCTATTTAATCCCCTACATAACCCCCGTTTAAGGAGTTTAGACTACAGCTCATATTCCCCCAAAAACTGGACACCAAAGCTGTGCCAACTCCATAGCCCACAGCTTAAGCCGGAAGTCCTTACCCTTGACGTTAGGATTAAGGTTAGAGGGTTGAGGGTTTGGGGTTTAAGATGTTTGGGGTTTAGGATTTAGGATTTGTGGTTGGGGCTGCGGGCCCTCGGTAAGAGGCATTGCAAGTCTATGGTCTCATGTGGGGGACAACAAAGACTTGCTAAGTCCCCCGCGACCTCCAAGTACTGGACTACAATGTACGTATACAAGGGTCATGAAGCGATAATTTGGGGAATTACCCAGGCTTCTACAATCTGTTGGTTCGGTTTCGTGGGTTGCTTGAAGAGTCTTGCAAATGCTGAAGGTAGCAGCTTCTTGCAAAAAGCCTTCACCTCATGTCTCATGGGTCGAAGACAACTTCTGGTCTAGGCAGGCCATCTCTAACCCGAGAAACAACCTTTTATTCTAATCAAAAACTATTGCCTGATCAAGTCTAAACCGCAAGCCCAAAATGCCTCGAACCCTGTATGAATGACCCCTACAATTACAATCAGCCCGAAATATCCTAAACCCTAAACCTCATATAGCATAAACCCTATATATCCTAAACCCTAAACCCCGTATATCCGCCTGGCCGGTCTCCTGAAGTTGCGTGGCCAGCTCGCAGCTCTGCTCCTGCGCTCACTTGGAGACTCCTACTTGGAGGGTTTAGGGTGTAGGGTTTGGAGTTTAGGGTTTAGGGTTTAGGGTTTAGAGTTTAGGGTTTAGAGTTTAGGGTTTAGAGTTTAGGGTTTAGGGTCAGGAAACCTTGGTAAGTGGGTTAATAATGGGGATAACTAGGGTTACTATATGGGTTATAGGGGCTATTAACCTACTTACTGAGTCTCCTTGACCCTCCAAGTAGATGGTTTTGAAAATCTGGGGACTTGTATGTCCTGTGTTTAAGGCTTATAGGGCTAGGGATTCGAGATTCAGAGTTTGGATTCCAAGCACTATAGAGAGTTGAAGGACTGGAACATCATAAGCTCTGATTGAACGAAACGGCTATTGCGAAATCTAGCTGGAGTGCTACTGGCGATTCAGACTTCTAGACTGACAAAACGTAGCCGGAGTTGCAAGTGAGTCAAGCACAACTCTCAACCCAAATCCAAATACCTGCAACCGCAAGGATATAACTTTTCACGAACTTCCAAGCTTCCAAGAAGCCGTGTTCTGTGGGTTCAGCACTTGTACAAGAAAAAGTTCAAGATGAGACCTGTTTTACGCCTTATGATGTAATCCCGTGCAAAAAAGCCGGATAGTTGCTGGAGTGAACCCATTTGAGCTAGTGTTTGAACTCCCAGTATCCCCTCAATAGCCCCTACTCCCCTAGATAATCCTCTCTACAACCCCGTTAAGGAGTTTACCCTATAATGCATGTTGTAACAAACTCCAAGCGATGAATCTCCTGTGGAAGAGTTGCCCTACCCTTGTTCACGCTAGATTTGGGCTACCAAACCTTGTACATGATCCCCTCACAGGGATGTCTAGGATTGTACTGGGGTTGCAGTGGTCCCTCACAAGGATTATGTACACTTTCTATAATCCCTATAGTTTCCATTCTGTTTTCCGTTATCCCAAAATAACCCAAATGTAACCCTAAACCCTAAATAGTAGTTTCCAGGTTCTTTTCCATTATCCCCAATATAATCCCTACATAATAGTCAAGATCAAACATCATCTTCTGAGCTGTGGCCATGCACCCAGTAGCTCCTCTCCCCTAAACCCTAAACCCTAAACCCGAAACCCTAAGCCCTAAACCCTAAACCCTAAACCCTAGGCCCTAAACCCTAAACCCTAAAACCCTAAACCCTAGCTCCTCTCCCCAAGAGTGCATAGCTTTGAAGAAGGACTCGGCCTTGACGTCTTTGGTGCTTTCACCCCCCCCCAAAGCATGAGCGTTTGGGATTTGAGGTTTAGGTTTTGGGTTTGGGTTTGGGTTTCAGGGTTAGAACGGAGGGATGGCTTAGGGCATAGTACATGCATAGTCCCTCTTAAGTAGACAGAATATAGGGTATATGGGGATCTTATTATCTCATACCCAAAGCCATATTCTATCTACTTAAGGGGGATGATATCATCAGGAAGTTGAAGGACCCCATGTCGCCCGCTCACGCGAAATGGACTGGTGGCCGCCAAAGCACCGAGGGCAGTTCATTTGTCCGTCAAAAAAGCACAAGTGCATGCACGAAACTGTGACACATTGCACTTGAACATGGCATGCCACGTAGATGGCCTGAACAAACAAACAATGGCAGAATATGACATCAGTAGCTGGAAACCCAGCAAAACCCGCCCGATTCTCCAGGCCTATAGGAGCCACCTCAACCAACCCACGTACCTCTGTACAGCTTGTAAGACCACTCCAACTAGAATTTTGCAGGTGTAGCGCGCTATACCGTCCCTGAAACTGACCTGCAAGCCAAAAAAAGAGCGTACTCAGACTACTCTCCCTTCAGAGACGGCCCGCACGGTAGACTTCGATGTACCCTAACCATGCCCCGAGAAAAGGATCCCTGGTTGGTGGAACCCCAAAGCTGCTCCATGCGGTGCTAGAGCTTCATGGCCTCTACTCTGGGTTCGCATAAAACTCATAGGGGCCTCCCCTAAGACCCTTCAAAAAGGAATATAGGGGACCACGGTGGCCTTCAGAGCTCGCAAGTGCATGCATAGTCAGATTTGGGTAGATATTGTACTATTTCCATAAGGGTTGTAACGGCATCAGGATTTGCAAGGGCAATTGAGGTGTACAAGAACAGGCCCCAGCTTGGATCCCTTGACAAAGCTGACGCCCAAGCCAGGCTTTTCCGCAGCTGAGCTACAAAGCTGTGGAAATGCGTCACGTCGTAGTGGTTGGTGTCACCCATGAGGCACACTACCTGGAGCTTTATAAGCTGAAAGGGCTAAATGCGTTACTCTGGGCCATTAAGGGCCAGATTGGCATGTTTGGAGCTCTGGCAAGCACAAAAAAGATTCTGAAGCCCTAATCCCTCAGCCTCATCCCCTTAACTCAAACCCCATTTCCCTTTCCTAAATCCACAACTCATCTTTGGGTGTCAGAGCCTTGCTTAGAAGCTGGAAAGGCAGGGAGCAACAAGTAGACTTACTACACAGGGGTTTAGGGTTTGATTTTTTCTCTTGATACGGGCTCCATCTGCCTCGCATCCCACGGCAAACCCTATGGATCCCTTTGAATTGGAAGCACCTATAACTTGTAACAACTCCTTGCAAGCCCTAAACTGTAGACGCTAAATCCTAATCTCTAAAACACAAATAAGATCGCAGCGTGCATAGTCTTGTCCATCCCTGCTTTCTATGGTACTTACCACCCTAAATCCTAAACCCCAAACCCGAACCCTTCTTCCGAAACCTGAGAGCCCCTGCCTCGCCTCATCCTTATCCACTTCAAGACCCACTGCATGGGCTCGCAGTAGCGCAGCCAAAAGTCGCATCCTGGTCAAGGGGCACTACACAGTTTTAGGGTTTAGGGTGTCGGGGTTTAGGGTTGGGGGGATTAAGGGCACTGGTTGGGGTTTGGAGTTATAGCTTGAGGCTTCCCTGTTTGGGGTCGCAGGTGTGTAATCGCGAGCGTTTGGTTTTGGATAAACCTCCATATCACTCACAAAAAATCGGTTTTAAGATGGCATGATATTGGAAAACGTTCGAAAAATGGTACAAGGGGGTTGGGGGAAGTCATCATTAGGGGAGCCGGATGAATCCGGAGAAACCAAGAGCCGAGTTGAGTAATCTTACAAGCCAAGAGGTTGAATTTGGACAGTTGAGGGTTTATGGTTTGGGGTTAGGGTTTATGAGACGACCCCACCCTAGATTAGCCCTGTATTCGGCCCTGATAAGGGGTATAACGCCCAGACTACTATCAAGCCACTAGGGAGCTGCTGTGGGCTGTTCATGGAGCTACTGCTGATACTAAAAAAAGCCCGCTTGACCCTAACTACTATCTTCAGATTTATGGATTTCGATTCTGACAGTCACGCAGGACCCTTACCACCAATGGTACTGGCAATTACTTGCAGACCCCCCAGATTCAAACTACTCATGGGTGGCCAAAGGCGGAGTGTGGCATTTCCATGCTGTCAGCCTCTTGGCAGAGCTCCGTAACCGACCACCACAAAATCCTTTCAGCTGGATGCCTGCTGGATAAGCCCCTATGCTGGAGAGAGGAGTGAATCCCTGCGATGAGCTGTGTATAGGTTATATTGGGATAATGGAAAAGAAAATGGAAACTACTCTCCAACATAGGGGTTCTATATCTTCGGTATGTAGGGAGGATGAAGAAATCAAAGCTACTCTCTTATATGGGGTTATATACGGGGTATATAGGGGTAATGGAACAGAAAATGGAAGCTACCTTTTTCAGGTTTATCTCAAAAATTCACTCCTCAACTCTCACCTCAGCGCCAGCAATCTAGGACAACATATGAGCCCTCAGCCCTCATGCCATGAAGGCCCAGTGTCTTCAGGTCTTTGTCTCTGCCGTTTGCCATCGTTGCTGTCTTGAAGGCCTCTGCTGCCTTCAGCGGATCCTCCATTTCCTTGCTAATTTTGCGTCTCGGGGGTAAGGGATTACTGTAATAGGTCAAGGGTTAAAAGGATTGATTATTTTTTGAGAGACGACGTCGTAGAAGCAGTAGTAGTGGAAGATGCTAGTACTAGCACAGGTAGTACTTGTGCAAGTATCTTCTTCTAGCTTCTACGTCTTCTTCTACTCTTACTGTTACTCCTACTACTGCTATACTGCCACCGCCGCTGCTACTGCGGCTACTGCGACTTTGTCAGCTACTACTGCTACCATTGGTACTGAAAGCTTGCCAAAAGCATCCTAGCATCTTCGTGCCTCTCACCACAGACTCTTGCCAGATCTGCCAGGGCTGCACGAAACGGGCAAACTGCCCCGCCAGCGCCTTCCACGCATCCCCGGAGAGTCCTCCACGCTGCGATCTTATCAAAACAGCATAGGCTTGCCATCAAAACCGCCAGAAATCGCCCATTGTCTTGAGACAGACCTGGACATTGCCTCATATGGGGCTAGGAAAGTCGAGTGAACAAGCGTTGCTTTCATCCTACAGGAAAACTCCTGAAACGTAGGCTAGACCTCCCTCGGAATGATCGATGTTGGACAGTTTTGGCCTCTAAACAAACAAAAAAAGGGGAGCAAAAGCCGCTGCACCTATGATATACTACTGCTGTTGTTGCTGCTGCTGCTGCTGCTGTTGCCGCAGCGGCCGCCTCAGGCAAGTTGCATTTTGGCGGCTTGGCGACTTGTTCAAGTCGCAACCCCAGACCCCCTGAAGGATCCAAAAAAATGGAGACCCGCCCCCCCTCCAAATATGAACCCAGTACTACATTGGGGAAACTAGGGGATTATTAGGGGGTCCATTTTTTTGATGCTTCAGGGGGCCTGGGACAACATACTCTTGCGTGTGCAAATACACCTGAGACTGATAGGATCCTCCTTGGCATCACACAACCCTGAAATCAGCAGCAAAATTGTTGAGAGACCGCTGAGCACCCCGCAAGACAAACACTTATAGTTCTCTCTGATCAAGAAACCGCCTCCCCTTAATTTGTAGGGATCATGATAGGGATCCTAATGCTAAGGATCCATTCAAGGAGTGGGTTCATAAATCAGGGGCCTGTTACATTGGATCTCTATGACCCTTTATGCCAGTACCAAATTCTTTGTGGCACGGGTAAGTTCCAAACTACCGAATCTGGACACGCCTCTTTTGCTGGAGGACCTATAATTCCCCTTAAGTAGATCGAATATGGGGTATATGGGGATCTTATTCTAATATACCCAAAGCCATGTTCTATCTATTTAAAGGGGACTATAGTTGTTGGAAACCCACGTATCGCATGAAACCATCCTCACCAGCGCATCCAGCACGTGAAGGTCCAGCAATCGGCCCCAGTCGTCATTTACCTGGGAGTGGTTGGGGTGGGAGGTTACGGATGTAGGGCTTAAGACTCCAGAATTATGATTTGGGGCTTTCAGGTTCAGTTCAGGGGTTTCGAGTTTCGGGCCTTGGGCTGTAAGATTGAAGAGTACAAGTAGCCCGAAAGCTTCATAAAAACGACGTTTAAATCCCTGCATGCAGTCTACATGGCCTGAAGGTCGTCATCACATAACGACATGCGGGATGCATGGGAATCTCGAAACATGAGGGGCTGCCTTTGCTGAGATCCTTCTCCAACCTTCCAATCCAAGCCTCAGGTCTGGGGTACACGTGTGCAAACCATCTTGAAGAACAGGTATTTCTCAAAATCAATCATCCATCTGCCCCTAGCAAAACAGGATCCCTTTCTTCCAGGACGCGCCTAGAATGAAGGCTGTCGCAGTTGTTGGGAATAGCCGTTGAACCCTATTCTTCCCCGAGCGCCAAAGGAAAAGCTCCATAATTCCTAGCCCCCTGAAACCAAAAAAGCACATATTTAGGAAGTCTCCAGGATTAGGAATACTTTTTTTTCGCTCCCAAAAACAAAAAGAATATAGCATACTAGGGTCTATGCTGGCCCAATTTGGAAAAACACCATTTGATCCAACGACCAAGGCGAAGGAGAGCTCAAACCATTCAGCCAGACTGTTCATCACGTGCTCGTCCTCCTGCCACGGGTACATAAGGGTCAGGGTTTAGGGTACAGAAGCCTGTGCTGCTGCCTCAACCTGGAAAATGTAAGCTACTAAATCCGTATACCACTCTCTTTACATTTCAGGTTCTATATGTTTTTCCATGGAATGTCTATTTTTCCTTGATGACCATTCTAAAAAATGCTACAATCTGCCCGATTAGTGGCCGAGGGCCTAGGTCTGACAATGTGGGGGGCTGGGAAATGTAGACTGTACTATAGTTGTAGGAGAATGAGGAGGGGACAGTAAAACACCCGAATAAAGAATAAGAAGAACATGAAATGGAAATAGGGAGGCATGACATACGAATGAGATAGGGACTTAGCTTTTAGGATACCCTGTATTCTCGAGAGGCCCCAAAAGGACCTCCAATTCCTGACAACTCAAAAGCCTCCTACCCTGAGGTTGCGGTTCATTTGAAACCTTCAGAAACCCCTGAAGTCGCAAGCCTTTCTACCCTGAACCATCAACAGTTCCAAACCCTGAGCAATGCACGCCGCTCCTGCATCTTGTACAGGGCAACCAAGAGGTCCCCTTGGGCTTTTCAAGGATGCATGTAGGCGAATTATCACTTCTTCAAGAAAGGGGAGGGGCTTCAGGGCTGCAATAATGTTTTGGTGAAAGCTATATTTTTGAGAAATGACTGCTACACATAAAGAAAGATATGTATATAACATATACATATATTTATATAGGCCAGGGACCCATGAAAGGACCATACTTTGGACAAACTCCAGACAAATGCATACACATATGGATGTGTCTGAGCGTGTATGAATTCCAGACCCCTGTAAAACCCCATAACTTAACCTATAACCCCACATTGGGATTTCCCAAAAGAGGGGCCCCAAGAGAGACCCCACCATCCGAGAATCCTGCTTCAAGGTACCAAGTAACCTCCAAAAAAGCATCCGGGTTCAGGGTTTACGGCTTCATTTGTGGACCCCTAAGCCCTCAATCCCACCTAGCCCCCGCGGTACCTCCCATGCCCCCCCACGTTCTGTTATTCCCTCCTGTCATGCTCGAAGATCCTCATGATCCTCATGATAAGAGCACACTTCAAACATGTACGTCATAAGTTGTTTCCAGTTTCTTGGCAGGACTCGTAAATTAAAAGATCAGACAGCCGCAGTTACATCTGGTCTTCGCGCATTGAATGCACGAACCAAGGCTGGCTAGCCCAAAACCTAAATCCCAAGCCTCAATTTCCAAAACCTAAGCCCTGAACCCTCACTTGTAAGCCCTACACCTTCACCCCTGAACTCTCACTTGTAAACCCTACACCTTCACCCCTCGATCCTACTGTACCCCCTTTCGGCTGAACCCTGATCCTGGCCAAGTCTCTTCGGCGTAGGCACGTTGCCGGTGTTGATGCTGACGCGCCCAGCAAAAGCCGATTCTGGGCTTAATGGTATAGTAGGAATATAGTAGGACCCAATTTCGGGTTTAGGGGTTAGGTATTAGGGTTTAGGGGTAGATGCTTCAGAGTCAGCGGAGAATTAGGTGTTTCGCAAAGTTAGAGATACCCTTTTGCGGGTCCCCATAATAAGGATGATTGTCGTATGTTGGGGTCTATATTGGGGTCCCCCTATGTGGGGAAATTACCTATTGGAGGCGAAGCAGCTTCAATCAAAACATCGGGATCCAGGGATCATCGGGGACTATCAGAGGGGGCTTGAAAAAGTGCCACATGAGTACTGCTGCGAGGGTCGACATGATTGCGGGGCATACCGTGAGGAGGCTCAACTGTATGGCTTGAGCTTGAGCACCAGTGCTTACTCTCAACAAATGGTAGTTGTTCAAAACACCGGTCCCAAAAATGGCCATAATGTAGGTTCCTTGTTTGGTTAGGATCCCCTTTTTAAGCAAGTGTATTCCCAATGGTCCCTCCTTTACAAGGACCTTTAGAACAACCCCCAGATTCGAGCTTGGGCTTTTCTAGCTAAGCCGAAGCGTTCGTAACGGCAAGAACAATCACAAGTAGCAGCCGCCTGGTGGAAGCAACGAGTTACATTGGGCTCTCTTCTTGCCAAGGAGTCTGGAAGAACATAGCTTCAGTTGAGGAACCAACCCCACTAGCCTGGCCAAGCCTCTAAATGCATTTGGGAGCATCAGATTTTGGGAGGGTTCGGCCTCCTTCGCAGCAATCTTGCCGCTAATACATTGGGAGACGACTCAAGAGCCGTATCTGGGCTTCATTTCATAACATCCAACAAAAGTGCAGGTGCTTACTTCGTTGTCATATTGCAGGCCGAGTCAAAAGTTGGGCCACTGTATCCTTTTTTGAACCCATACCGTTGTATCCTACTCCCCCTGGTAATGACCCCTACACCCGTTAATGAAAATTGTTCTAATTATACAAACATTATACATTAGGGATACATGCGTCGTCAAGGATGTGGAGGGTTCTAATATCAGCCGGCGGGGATCATTGCTAGCACGTTCATGTGGGACAGCGGTATCCTAACCCCTAAAAGTAACAAATCAAAAATTGTTGAGTGTACTGATGTTTCGCCAAGCGCCACGGACAATCCACGCCGAGCAGGTTTCATCCCTAGCCTCCATAGGAGGACCCCCAAAATGTTGCTCCGCGATCCATGGATAAACCACGGAGAAGCCCGAAGATCCAGAATATAAAGGGACTCTACTGGGAACCCCAAATAGGGAACCCCAAGAATATAGCAGGAATATAATGGAATATAAGGACCCTGGCAGGTAACCTACTATATTCTTGGGGTTCCCTATTTGGGGTTCCCAGTAGAGTCCCTTTAGAATAGTAGGCCATGCCCAGACCATAAGCAATAATCCTTGTAGGCAAGAATCTGCAAGGTGCTGGGCCACAACCTGGTGTTAAGGCTTTATGGCCTCATGGTAAGGCTTTTAAGCTTGCTGTTAAGGGTCCTCGGGGTCTCAGAGGATATGTGTTTAAAGGCTTCATGGACATGAGGGTATTTGGATCTTAGAGCTTAGGAAGTTATCTTCGCCCTTGGTACTGAAGCCGTGGCTAGTCCTACGTCTACCAGACTCACCCTGTCAGTCCAGTGGCTTGAATGCATGGCACACAAATATGCGCCTTCACACACAACATCGGCCCTCGTACTCAACAAAAAGGCCCTTTTGGGGAAGTTTAAGGCCTTGATGAGCAGATTGCAGACGCTTCTTGAAACAGAATACGTGGCATGCATAGCGGGACAATGCGTGGCCATCTTGAGTCGGCATTAATCCAGTTTCGCTCTTACTGTGACGAACCATCATATGAAAAGAGCCTGTATGCCCCAAGAGGTACAGTAAGACCCCTGGGGATATGTGGGATTACGAAGTAAGTCTAAAGGTCACGCTAAAGGATCAGAATCCCGGCGAGGTGTTCCAAAAGATGTCCCCACATCCCCGAATTTTGACACCCAAATGCAACTGGAACATTGAGGTGGATTTGAGGCATGTGATTCGTGCTACAGCAAGACGTATCGTGTTCCTTTCACATAAACTGGAACCCTAGTCCCACTACCTGGAAGTTCAAGGTACATAATTCAATCATAAATGGTAATCACGCAGTGATAACCATGTAGAGGATGTGGTCCTTGGGTGCATAATTTTGGGCTATAAGTGCCAGTATAATGTGTTATCACTACCCTAGACTAGACCCTAAGTACCCCTTTGACCTGTATCTACGGTCTGGACGACCCCTATATTTACCCTTGAACATCCAAGTTTGCCAGAGCACATACGCAGCGGTCTGGGTAACTGCGACAGCATCGGTCCTTGAGCATGGGAGGCTTTGGCATCTGCGATCGGAGTGATCGGTTTAGAGTTTAAGGTTTAGGTTTGAGGGGTTTAGGGGTCAGAGTTTAGGATTTTGCAGTTTTGCGCTGCAAGTTCCTGGCGATTCACGGGCTTGAAGTGGAGGTTTCCTGCAATATTGACCTCAATATAATGTCATCCATCCACAGTAAGGGGCATAATCTGTCTCTGGAGGATTACTTTCCATACATTAGGGGGTCCTGTATATGCTCAAATATACCGTACTCCTTATTGCCCCCAAAAAGGAAGGCTAATTTTCGGAGAGGCACCTATGGCGGGCCCCACCTTGTTGGATGCACCCTGCTGTGAGTTTTTTTTACCAAAGGTTGAACTCGGACTGTTGATGGAACCTAGCAAGTCTTATTACGAAGACCCATTATAGTAGTTCCCATTGTCTTTTCCCCTCCTTCATTCCCAGCTAACCAAAGGCCAGTAAACCTCAACACCCTAAACCCTAAACCCTAAACCTCAACCCCCAGGAGATTACTAACGGAGCGGGAAGATTCGCGGTGCTCCGTCGGCGCCGCTTGACGGGAGCCGCAGCGGCTTCGTCTGCGCAGGTGCGCAACTACGCGGTTTAGGGTTTAGGGTTTAGGGTTTAGGGTAACTCACTAGTGCTTCAGGGAGGTGGGAGGACTTGATCCACATTAATCCCAATATAATCCCATGACCCTTACAATGTTATGGTGATTCAAGCAGCTGAGGGCTAGATCCCTGCACTAACACCGATATAATCCTTGGAATGCGAGCTAGATTCACCCCCTTTAGCGCCAGTGAGGCAAGTTTAGGTTACAGCATGTAGGGCAGATGACGTAGCTTGTACGATTCGAAGCTTTTCTGGCTGATTTGCGGGAATTGGTTTTGAGGTTTGGCGGGGTATCGGATTTAGGCTTGAAGGTTTGGCTCTTGTAGCCATTGCAGAACCCGTATGTAGAGACGCCCTCTGGCTCTTCGTGAGAATTCTAGGAGGAGATCTATAAGGGCCAACATAAATACCTATATCATTTTGAGGTTTATTAGAAGTCACCCATACCACGTTTAGACATGCACGGCCGAATCTGGTACTAAATCCTTTACCCTATATGTATCCGGATACTGTATCCGTATATAGCCCTGAACCCTAAACCCTCAGGCCTGCCCTTGGATAAGCCCCTGGAGACGCTGTCACCAGCCCTGCACCTCCAAACCTAGGTAATCTCCACCCCTGAAAATTAAACACCCCCACCTGCCTAACAATATCCCCCCTCATATCTGATGTCACTAGTGTTTATTGTGCTTTGTTGGGGGGGAGGGTGGTGGATAGTATTAGGGCAGAAGGGGGGTGCCATGATCAGGGGGTGGGGGCTAATTACATTCGGCAGCACTCGGGTTATCCATAACAATGATCATTAACAAATATAGAGAGCGCCTCATGACTTGGATTTCAATCCCAAAGCCCTCATCGCACCATCAACCCTGCAACCCAATCAAAGGTTCGTGTGCGAAACCACAGATAATGAGAGGGCCTTGGTAAGACCAACAGCACAAAAAATATCATCCTGCGAAACTTATGTTGTGATAATGCCTAATGACCTAATGATGTTCATAGCGAAGTAATGATGCTAGGGTACAGTTTGGGGGGCTTGGGGTTACCAAAGGACATCTTCTTCCTAAACCCTAAACCCTAAACCCTAAACTGAGGATTCGGAACCTCGATGCTTCGTCACTTCTTCGTACAGAGCATCCAGCTGCGACAC